TGACACATTTTTACAGTGTACGAAACAAATATTTGATTGATTACGTTGTACGTCTAGCCTGTGATTACAGAATTACGGAATTTATTTTTTCAATTTACGTTGTACGAACAAAAAAATATTGCAATTACGTTGAACGAAAATAACCCTTGCCCCCCCCCACAAAGAATAATGATAAACGTCGTTGTTATGATTCATTGAAGTCATGAAGTGAAATGTGATCCCGTCCTAATGATTGGCCTCGTTGTATTGCATACATTATATCCTACAGTGGTAATGTTTGATATATAATTGGGAAAGTCAAATTGCGCTGAATATATTACTGTCATTATCCAAAATATGGCAAGAACATGAATGTCCTACATTACCACAATTGTAAAGCTTGTTTATTTTGTATAGGTCCACTTCGCTAGGGAAATTTCGCTGACCGATTTCTGCGTCGTTCTTCTTCGGAATTATGGTATCTCCATCGTTTTTACTGAAAGCATCTTTCGGATAATGCATAATTGAGGTGTAATCATATGGCGAGCCAAGATCATCTATCGTCTGGTGTCCATATTTTTCAAAATTTTCCTCCATTTCTGTGAAGGGAAACAATAAATATGGTTGTTAACATATTTCTGCCGTGAACACATCGTGGACGTCACATTACCGAGTGGAACTCTCTCTCCGTATGTGGTTGATACGAGGATGCCACAAATTATGCAAGAATCAAATACAGCGGAAATATTGACCGATGGGTAACGGAGGTCTTGAAAGGTTTGCGACCATGTACTATAATTGTGGTGTCTTCTCAATGACCTTATTATAATACATTTTCCCGATCCAACTTGGTGTAGGAAGCCCAGAACAGGTTGAAAATCATTGGATCATTCTTTCTAGAACTTCGTTCTCAAAACACCAGCCATCTTGGAAACTCAATGCGTTATCGTTCCATATTTGGAATCCACATTTCCTAATATGGCATAATGCAGATACCCTGTGCAATACCGATAAGGTACGTCACGCTGTAACCAATATACGGCGATATGGTGGCAGAGGTGTAATAATATTGTTTATTGAAGTGCCCAAGTACTTACTTGGGAATATATTCTCCCACACGATGGTGACATATTTGTCTCTGTCTGTCCTGCTTTGCTCGTGATAAAATCCCATGGCGTGCATCATTTCATGCATGATAGTACCAAGGTGTTCAGTACAGCCAAATCCTAGCGAGATTTCCTGTTTGCCACCATCACGCCCCACGCTGGACCAGCACCTGAAAACACCAATAATCACATTTAGCTGGAAGACTCACTTTAAGTCTGTGTCGATGTCATAAAAGTGTTTCATTGAAATCTACATACCCTTGTAGAGGAACAAAATGTATATAATTTCTTTCGTCTTCTCTTTTTCTGAATTCAATACACGTTAATTCCTCAAAGTGTCCTATGGCCGCCTGTATACGTTGATTGGCATCTTTATCTGTATTAATGTATATTAAATATTATTTTATTTTTGAAATATGCGTATACTTTGTTAACATCAGTATATACTTCAATGGTTTCCCATGGAAACGCTGTACTAATGATATATCAATAATCTTTCCTTCATACAATGTATTTATTATATACGTATGTCTAATTACACGCAACAAGTGATAACCAATTCCATACCATAATATTTGTCAATCGTATAATAGATAATACCACCAGGCCATAATTTGTCAACGTCTTTAAGTGCATTGTGGTGTGCCTATGAACAAAACAAAAAAAGGCAATGCTTTGTTGTATCTATGTTACAGTCTTCAAGGCTGGTATGACAGGCTCGTACAATTGCATCCCACTGAATGGAGGGAGTATAAGCAAAATGATGAAACAGTCATAAAACGTCAGTCCTCATGTTTTTTCAATGTGAAATAAATACACACGATTGAAAAAATACCATAAACTAAGTAGACGAGTATAATACCATGCAAATTCACATCATATAATTAAAATGTGTTAAGGACAATAGCACAACTATCAACTGCAGTGAACTCTTTGATTAATAACCCGATTGTCAAACGTCTTTCTGTGAAATGTCCTAGGAAATGAATGACACTTTACTGTTCAGTGTGAAATCTCATAGCGTGGAATATAAAGTTGAAACAAATAACTAGATTTATAGATATCAGTTTCAGTAGTCTTGTAACATGTAAGATATACGTACTCGAGGCCCGAGGTAAATGTCGCCTTCCAGCATCACACCATTTAAATCTACAAAGAGAGTAATTAGAATTGTGGTTAACAAGACTGAGCATGCACTTATTTACTGAGACTGGGTCTATATAACATGTATAGCCGCGTGTGCCATATTGGGGTGTTATGCCATGTGATGAATGTTATGACGTCAGCGCAATCATCAACACAGTAATGAAATGCCAAATGGCAATACTACTTTAGCAGCCAATATTAACATCCTCGGCCAGAAGTGATATTCAATCGGCGATTATGTGATAATACATTGACCAATCAGATCAGTTGTACTTAATATAAATAATTACAATAGTAGTAGTAAATATTATGTTAAAAGAATAATGATTCGCTATATATGCTTACCACTATTGCTTCGTATTATGTCTTCATTTGCTTTAAATACGTATTCCATTGCATCATCTTCATTTATCCCGAAATTAGCGAGAGCTAAAAAGAACAGAACATACGGGATAACGTCTTTCTTGGAAATCACGTGAACAAACAAATAATCTCACACATCTATACAATATAATGTTCAGGCAAGTTTAGGTTGTTATATTATCCTATATAAATCGATTTCTTAGTTCTAATATGGATTCACAAACCGCGTAAGTCCAGTTTTTATGTATGTTTATTATTATGGAATATTACATGGCAAGAATTGTTTGTTTGAAAAAAAGATATAATCAACAATAACATCGCCTATGTACGAGGCAGTTATCCAGCGGCCCTCATATTTACGCCTCTTGGAAGAAATGTTGGTGTGAACGCAAAATTATGGTTGCGTGCCGATCCGTGACTAATTCGTAGCTAATAGTGAATATACACCTACTACAATACACACCAATCCCCACAATTAAACACATCGAAACTTCGGATGAAATGTATTTAAAGTGTATTTACCTTCCGGGGAGTTCGTTGGTGTCGACCGCTTTCTCTGATAAAAAAATGAGGTGTAACTGTTTATCATATTTTGTATAAATGTGAGAATAAGGAATCATTAAAATACTTGAGTTGAAAATGTGAATCATTAATAAATGAATTAGTGAAGATATTAGTTATTTTGTTACAATGAATCGTTGTGTCAAGAGCAGTATTCAAACTACCATAATAATTTCTTTACATCCAATGTAGAATATCAAGGGTTATTTATGCTTACCAATATTTCGGGTAAATGTGCGAATTCGTCTTCGTCCGCATCACCGCCGTCCGGTTCTGCAATCTGAAGAGCGTACAACGCGTTACAAATCAAAAGACATAGCTCTATGTTATGTATTTAGTCACCGTAACACCGTTACAAACTGCAATCTACTATACACTGTTTTACACGCGTATAATGTAGTATCCAACACGTTCTACATCATCGCAGTAAAAATGATTTTAAACCATACTTACCGGCACACATATGCCATGTTTTATACACCAACACACAGTAACGAAGACGACAATTCCAAATTTTACAGTTTCGAACATAGTGACGAAATGATCTCCCGGTGTACTGTATGGGCACAATATGTGCTTTTACTGTTCAGTAATTAATATATTTTAATTAATAAATTAATAATAATTATTATTATTGTAATTAAATCCGTTATTTAAAACTCGTACTATGTAATTGGAACTTTGAAATTATCATAATTATTGTTTGATTACAGCTACAATGTGCTGTATTTCCGCTAGAGAATAAGCGCAATAAAGTACATTTTTTTAAACAAGAATAGTATTTAAAATCTAATATATTTAAACCATATTGACAGTAGAGTATGTCTACGAAGATTTCAAGGAACACCGTATAATTTGAAATACTGTTTAACTTTTTTGTAAAAGAAAACATGTAGTATCGTAGATTTGTAAATTACGACGGACAGTTGTTCATCCATTTGCATTGGATCACGTGTACTCGATATATTGACTGCCATGGCATAAATTTATATACATAATGATAATTTGATGAGTAAAAATACAAGTCTAAGAACGTAATAGACGATAAAACAAATGACTGGCTGGCATATCGCAACACATGGTCGAACCAGTGAGAGAAAGAACCCAAACCTAGAAATATTCAGCAAATCCTGCCCCACAACTCTGAACATACTTCGATTTGACATCGAGACAGGATCTATCATGACTATTTTCCTCCACCGAATAAACATGGCTGAGTTTACACACTTTATTTAAATAATTTTTCTTGCAAAAAATCATTGCTTGGAAATTATTCAGACAAAAAAATGCAGACGTCATGTAGCAGCACTAACAATACATCCATCGCGTGTATATTGTGATAATCAGCGTTTTAGTAATTTACTTCATTTATCTTTCCCAATTAAACATATCCATCATCAATTAACCTAATAATTGGTGCAGGTAATTAACATGGTCGTAGATTTATCATATTTAAAGAATATTTCCATGTTCACAGTTCACAGGTTATGATGTGACATGCGTGAAAAGCAATTCCAAGCACAGAGAAACAGGCAGGTGGCAGTTTAATGATTGACTGAAACTAAACAATAATACCCCTGTCGCCTACCAATGTGAAATGAAGCCAGATATCAATATATGTCTGAAAACGGCTGTGTTGAATCACAGAACGCCCAAGAACTATGATCAACTGTA